GCAGGAAGCTAGCGAAGTCGTAGTATATATCGTCAAATAGAACTGCCCGGTAAACCGTAGGCAGAGAGGGAGAAGAGGACAACAAACGAGGGGCTGTGACATATATATATATATATATATATATATATATATATATATTTTACCTATATTTAATTCAGGAAAATTCTTGTAAAATCGGGTCCGCGGCGCGGACCAGGTCGGCCGCGGACGCAGCCCCATCTGCGTCCGCCATCCGAGATCGGACCCGCGGACGCGTCCGCGGGTGTTTCGTAGATTTCAGGACAAAGAAATATGCATGCATGTCACAGTACGTGAACTAACCAATGAGGGTGCAGGGCCAGCGCAGAATCTGCGATGGGCGACCCCTGCGGCCACAGCTTTCCTGAACAGGAAGACGGCTGCGGACCATTCCAAATCCCCCCCCCGACTGGATCTCTGTCACCAACAACCGTGCGCAAAATGACGGATCAGTAATTTTGGTGACAACCATCTGGAATATGGTCCGCGATATTTCCAGATGTTTAGCCGTCATTTACACGTCTGGAACAGAAACCAGGCGCTAAATGACGGATCAGTAGTTTTGCCGATAAATGCCCTTCACACCGGTCTAAGCCCCCCCAATGCTGGCATATGGCGTTGCCACGCATGGAACAGAAACCAGGCGCTAAATGACAAATCCCCTCAGAATAAGAGTCTGTGCATCGAAGACTTCAGAAAGATGCAAAGATTCCCCATGTGTCTGTGGCTGAGTGGAAGTGCCCACATATGTCCTCGCCCTTGCCGTACTACACGTGCAGTAAATTTATGAATCTGTTTAAGTCAGCAGACATTCCACTCTCCCAATAGAAGAAGAGGACACATCTGGGACGTCCTGCCCTTACGGATCTCCGAAAAGCACCAGCCGTGGGTGTGAGCGTGTGTAGTAAGGGAAGATAGACGCAAGCAAACACGACGACAAGTCATGTTTGCGACGAACTTTACGCACATTTGTTGTCTTTCTTGGCATATCAGGGTTTTCCTCTTTCTTGAGTTTTTAGCTTCTGGCTCAAAAACCACTGGTACTGTCCGCAAAACTGCTGATCTGTCAATGGCAGTGGGAAGGTAAGCCTGACTCCCCGGATATCCCCGCGTGACTACACGCGTAAGGAAATCTGGAAGTGTCTTAAACCACCAGTACACCAAGCTTTTCCAAATCTGGAAGTGTCTTAAACCACCAGTACATTTCCAAATCTGGAAATGTCTTAAACCACCAGTACGCCTGGAGGCGCCTTACAGTGTGCCAAGCTTTTCCAAACCGCCAGCGGCACACTTTCTTTCTTCTTTGGCTGGCGCCGCCAGCCATTGTGGTCCGGTAGGCTGAGCCTCTGAAATTTTCGTAGGCGACGAGTTGCAT